GCAAAGATGTGGAGGGGCTGGAAGGCTTGTGTTTCGCTGGCGGAAAGTAAAACAGTGCGGCTGCTGTGGTAGACACCCTGCTGGCACGTCAAAAAATCCAACAGGGAATTACCATGTGACCCAGCAATGCCACTGCTAGGCATATACCCGAGAGAGTTGAAAGCCGGGACCCATACAAGTCCCCCCATGTTTGAGGGAGCCCTGTTCATGACAACCCAAAGTAGAAACCACCCACGTGGCCGCCAAGGGAGGGAAGGATAAACAAAGCCTGGTACCGTCCTGCAGTTCAGCCGTAAATGAAGTACAGTTATTAATCGACTTACGACCTGTGCAACTTACGACCGTTCGACTTGACGACCACAATCGCTAGCTACGACCGCTCCGTCTGGCAGCGCAAACGTTGCCCAGCTGGGCGTACGACAGGAAGAGTAGAAATTAATGCCACTATTGAAGATCTCTAGATGCCAGGGTAGTCATCCATATCATATCTCTACTTATTTTACCAGTCTGATCTCTGGAGAAAGTAGGTGAATCCTGAAGGTAAACTATTACTACAAATTCAACCAGTCATTTCACAGTACTGTACATACAGCCTACTCAACTTATGACCAAATCGTGTTACGACCGGTCTGTCGGAACCAATCGTGGTCGTAAGTCGAGCACTAGCTGTAACGTCCTGACACCAGCTGTAGCCCAGGTGAACCTCAGAAACGTTCTGCAAAGTGAGAGAAGCCAGACATGAAGGCGAACGTGTGAGTCCACGTATACGCAGCCGGAGAGTAGGGAACGCTGCAGAGACGGACAGCAGGTTGGCCGCCACCAAGAGTTGGGGGAGGAGAGGGTAAGAGCGACTGCCTAATGGGTGTGGGGTTTCCTTCTGGGGTGAGGAATGTGCTGATGAGAATGTTCTGGAAGTGGTGGTTGCACAGCACTGTGATGCCAAATGCCACAGAACTGTTCCTTTTAAATGGTGAATTTTATGTTCTGTGAATTTCACCTCAGTTAAAGAAAAAAAATTGCTCCTTTTGAGCAGTATTTCCATGCTGAAGAGATACCAGATGGAGACAGTGGTGCCCAGGTGCCCAGCTGTGCATGGGCCACATGCATGGCGAGTGAGCAAGTCTCCAGATGATCCACCTCAGCCTTAGGGCTGACCCGGTGGTGCCAAGTAGAGCGGATAGGAGCCGTCCCTGCCAAGCCCCAGCCAAACTGCGGGTTCCCGAGCAAAACAAATGTTGTTTTAGGCCATCAAGTCCTGCAGGGGTGGCTCTGTGACATTGGAGGACTTACAGGAGCTCTCAGCCCTGCAGCTGATTGAGAGTGGGCTCAGTCAGCCAGGTTCCTTCCAGAGGGTGTTGCTGGGCCTCCCAGGTGGCTGTGCCAGGTGGGGACAGTACTAGAGAGCTGTTGGGGGACTGGATCGGGGATTGGGCCCTCCTGGGGGGCCCGACATGAGCCGGGACAAAGTGTGTGACGTCAGCAGTCCTGGTGGACTCAAGGAAGGAGGTATGGGTGGAACAGTGGATGGCAGGAGGAGGGAGAGTCTGGCACCGTCTGGGAGGCCCTCAAAGGAAGACCTGCGCCTCCCAGGTCCCACGGCTCCCCCTCCACTTGGTCAGCTCCGGCAGCAGGAAAGGGATCCCTGGGCCTGGAATCGGGATGCAGTTCTGGGCCAGCTCAGCCTCTCCCAGGCTGGGAGAGCTCTAACGCCCTCTCATCTGTTCCCCAGCTGGGGAATGTGGAAGGTTCCACCATCTCAGACCCCTGCCTAGCGACTCTCAGCCATGACTGACTTTAGAATCACCTGCTGAGTTTTTAAAAATGTCTGTGCCCGGATCCACCCAACACCAAGTCAGTCTCTGGGGTGACTGGTTGGGGGTGGTTCCTCGCAAAGCTCTACAGGGGATTCCAGGGTGCAGCCAGATTGAAGCCACCTCCCTAATGCAGCCTGCACGAAAGCCTGAATCTGGAACCTTGACACACACATTCTCCAACTGGAGCGCCCCAGATGGAGAGTCCTGGGTGGATTTTCTCAAAAATGGCTTCCCGTCTTTTTTCCTCTTAAACTTGCAGAGTCCATGAAAGCTGGGCAATGGTGGGTGCTGGAGGACATCAGACTTGGGCCCACGTGGTGTCACTGTCTTCCGTGGGTGTTTGGTGCATTTCATAGGCCCCTGGGCACCTTCACCTCCAGGCTGGGCCCTGGGGCACACCTCTGGCCTCTAGCAGCATCGAGGGGATGCTCATGTTTGCTGGGAGCAGTAGCTACCACCTTCTTGCATCCTCGTGTCTTAGTGATTGGCTGGCCCAGGAGGGCCGTGGTGACAGGCAGTCATCAGGCCATCACTGGGAGTGGCAGAAATACAGCAGATGTCCCACCACATCTGTGCCTCGCTCCCATTGGTCCAGTGGTCAGGTGTGGCTGGGCTGCCACCTCCCCCTTTCATTTCTGTCACCCAGCCCCTGCAAGCTCCTGAGCTGCCCTCGTGTACCTCAGGGCATCTGAGCAGTGCCCTTGGCCCTGGCTCACATCTGCAGTGTCGTCGATCAGGACGGGTGTCCACGGTCCATGGAAGGACCTCTCGGCTCAGGCCTGTCCACCCCGTACCCAGCGCTGCTGCCCCTCAGGCTTCCCTGGGTGTCTCCCCAACAGCTACTGAAGGCCAGCAGGGTGCCCCAGGGCCCTGCCCACTCCCAAAGGACCAGGCCCCTAGAGGTGGAGGTTCTGGGGAGAAGGTAGCTCCAGATACTCTGAGGATCCCACATTTCCAAAGGGCACCCAGAAAAGACAGGAGAAGCAGCCGGGAGGAAGGCCAAGGAGTGGAGCGGATGGAGGCGCTGGACGGTGAAGGGCAGTGTTGAGACTATGTTGTAATAAGAAAAATGCAGGCAGAAAGGGCCACTGGTGTAGACCCAGAGAATGTGATCATCACGGAGATGGCTGGCCTCCCTCTCTCACATACACTCACACACTCACCCACGAGGCAACCCCGCCCCCACCCACCCCAGGCTCATTTAATCCTCATAGTCCCAAAAGGTGCTCGTGTTAGCTCCACTGGAAGGAAGAGAAAACCAAGGCTGCTGGGCGGGTGCGGGGTGGGAGGAAGCCCCATGGCATTCTTTGCCTTGGAGCAGGTGGGGCCTGCCCTGGCGGAGCTGCGGCCGCTCTGAATTGCTCGAGTGTCTGAGGAGCGCTGTGTCATCTGTCAGTTGTGCATCCATCAGGTCCGATATGGAAATGTGCAGTCCAGCCTGCCCAGGGCTTTGGGTCATCCTCTGCTTCTTGGCTTCCACCATTTCCTGAGCTGCTGACACCCCATCTTGTTTTCCATTCCGTTTTTTTAAAAAATGTATTTATTATACTTTCAGTTCTGGGGTACATGTGCAAAACGTGCAGGTTTGTTACCTAGGTATACATGTGCCGTGGTGGTTCGCTGCACCCATCACCCTGTCATCTACATTAGGTATTTCTCCTAATGCTATCCCTCTTCAATCCCCCACCCCCTGCTATCCCTCCTCTAGCCCCTCATCCCCCACAGGCCCCGGTGTGTGATGCTCCCCTCCCTGTGTCCATGTGTTCTCATTGTTCAACACCCACTTATGAGTGAGAACATGGGATGTTTGGTTTTCTGTTCTTGTGTCAGTTTGCTGAGAATTATGGTTTCCAGATTCATCCATGTCCCTAAAAAAGACATGGACTAATCCTTTTTTATGGCTGCATAGTATTCCATGGTGTATATATGCCACATTTTCTTTATCCAGTCTATCATCAGTGGGCATTTGGTTTGGTTCCAAGTCTTTGCTATTGCTAACAGTGCCACAATAAACACATGTGTGCATCTGTCTTTATAACAAAATGATTTATAATCCTTTGGGTATATACCCAGTAATGGGATTGCTGGGTCAAATGGTATTTCTGTTTCTAGATTCTTGAGGAATCACCACACTGTCTTCGATAATGGTTGAACTAATTTATTTATTTATTTTTTATTTTTTATTTTTCTATACATCCTTTACTGGTTTCCTCCAATGGTAATCTTACAGAATTACAGTACGATTTTCACAACCAGGCTATTGATATTAATACATTCAAAATACAGAACAACTTCAACCTCTTGGAATTATTTAGGATTCTTTGGGTTGCCCTTTTGTAGTCACACTCACTTTCCTCTCACCTTCTTCCCCACTCCATTCTTTTTTTTTTTTTTCCAAGCTTTTTTTTTTTATTTCATTTCAGGTTTTGGGGTACATGTGAAGAACATGCAAGATTGTTGCATAGGTACACACATGGCAGTGTGGTTTGCTGCCTTCCGTCCCCTCACCTGTATCTGTCATTTCTCCCCCTGCTATCTCTTCCCACCTCCCTACCCCCCCTCCCCCATTTCCCCCAAACGGAACCCAGTGTGTAGTGCTCCCCTCCCTGTGTCCACGTGTTCTCATTGTTCAACACCCGCCTATGAGTGAGAATATACGGTGTTTGATTTTCTGCTCTTGTGTCAGTTTGCTGAGAATGATGGTTTCCAGGTTCATCCATGTCCCTACAAAGGACGTGAACTCATCGTTTTTGATGGCTGCGTAATATTCCATGGTGTATATGTACCACATTTTCCCTATCCAGTCTATCATCGTTGGGCATTTGGGTTGGTTCCAGGTCTTTGCTATTGTAAACAGTGCTGCAATGAACATTCGTGTGCATGTGTCCTTGTAGTAGAATGATTTATAATCCTTTGGATATATACCCAGTAATGGGATTGCTGGGTCAAATGGGATTTCTATTTTTAGGTCCTTGAGGAATCGCCACACTGTCTTCCACAATGGTTGAATTAATTTACATTCCCACCAACAGTGTAAAAGTGTTCCTATTTCTCCACATCCTCTCCAGCATCTGTTGTTTCCAGATTTTTTTAATGATCGCCATTCTAACTGGCGTGAGATGGTATCTCAATGTGGTTTTGATTTGCATTTCTCTGATGACCAGTGATGA